ATACAGACGGTTCGAAAATGAAAAACAGCACAGGAGCTGGGATCTACCATGTGAACTCAGGGAGGACAATTAGTTTGAACCTGGGGTCACTGACAACAGTCTTCCAGGCTGAAGTAGCAGCAATAAATGCCTGCGCCAAAGTCATGCTAAATGACTCTCTTAGAAATAAGAGAATCGTTATCATGACAGACAGTCAGGCAGCCCTTAAAGCACTAAAAAGGGTAGAAGTACAATCAAAATCAATATTTGATTGCCAACAATCCCTCCAGGCTCTGGCAGTACATAACAAGGTTACCCTTGAATGGGTGCCAGGACATGAGGGAGTGTTTGGAAACGAGAAAGCAGACCTCCTAGCAAGGAAGGGAGCGGAAAAAACTCTTATTGGACCAGAACCCACATGTGGTATCTCATACCAACATGTTAAATGGGTGTTAAAGGAACAAATAAAAAGAGAACACCATAGGCTCTGGATGGAACTTCCTGGACTTAGACAGTCCAAAAGATTCATAGAGGGGCCATCCACGAGCAGACAACATCAACTGCTAAACCTTAGCAGAAGCGAACTCAAGGCCGTAATGGGACTCCTTACGGGACACTGCGGCCTTAGAAGACACCTAAATCTCTTAGGGATATCTGATGATTCCCTATGCAGAATATGTGAAGAGGAAGACGAAACTCCTATTCACATACTATGCCACTGCCGGAACCTGAAATGGGAACGGGAATGGTACTTCGGGGTACAATATCCGGAACCTGAAGAAATCGCGAAAGCGCCCATCAGACATATTCTTGAATTCATCAAGAAAATCAATCTGATGGGATAGAAACTGTGAGGGGTACAATAAGCCTAGAGCTTCAGTACAAGTGGGCTTTGAACCACGCCCTAATTCAGATGATGATGATGAATCATCCGCTTCTGCTTAGGAATTGTCGGTTTTCTTGTTTTAATCTGACAGGTTAAAACGACTAAACCGACGATTCCGGAAGCAGAAGCGGATGATTAAAACGCACCTGATATTTTGCTTGCTGCTGTCAGTATCAGTGAATATTATTTTTGGAGTCACAGTTTATTGCTAAAGAATCAGTTAGCTCACTCGGACCAGTTGAAAGTTCCAAAATAACATCCACTCCAGGGATACAAATTCAGGATACGCAGAAGACTGCTGTTTTATTATAGGCGGTTGTCATATATTGTATTATCCGAGTTACGCAATGTAGAAACTGGAACATTGAGATCAAAACTGCCGACGCAGAGTGAGCGATCTGATTCTTTAGCTATAAACTGTGTCATAGGAATCAAAATGGCCGCGCCCTATGTTGGGCGTGTCGGACCTCTCTCTTGCCCCGATAGTAATCAAAGTATGTGGTGAGAGCACTCTCTCACTATTTGGCCTTGCTGCGCATGTCACTCGACTAAAATTGAATCGCTCGTTTCAAAAACGACATAAGTCACTAAAACTCAATTTTACAGGAGATGCAAAAAACTAGATAATTAAATAAAATAAATAAATCAAGTATTCAAACTATTTTAAATTGATGTGTAAACATATTTTTAATATAAAATATATGTACAATAGTTTTTTGTCAAATGTGTTTCTTAAAAAAAAATATTTTTGAGATCTTATGCAGTTTATGCAAAGAATAAAAGTAATCAGCAATTTTGTCTTACAAATTAGGCACAACAAATTAAACACAATCAATATAAAGTAAAAAAGCTTTATTTATGATATCACAATAGTGTTTGTAATATTTCTATATTAGCTTCTCCCTCTTCTGCGGTATCTGTTGTTGCCATCGCAAGATTTCTTGATAAAATGGCTTTTACTCGTCCAGAATGCTAGGCTGAACTTGTCCAATATTTTCTTTTTTGGGATTTTTTTTTTTTGGATTTATTGGGTGTGTTTATAAAACAGAAATTCAATCTAGTTTATAAGTTTGAAAATAAAAATTTCGAAAACTAGTCATCGGATTAAGTTGAGTCTATTTACACTGTTGGTTACTACTAGGTTGAGTACAGTAACATACCAAAGTTTCAGGAAATTTGACCGGTTGCCATTTTACATAAGGAAACACGTGAAATATGTAAGTTTTAAACCTACATATGAAATGATAAATCTTTAAAAATGTATAGACAAAAACAATTAGAAGATCAAAATCAGAAAGGATTACCTACATATTACAAGAAAAAAAATATTTTTGAAACTTTAGCTGAACAAGAATAGGTTGTTATTTTTTTATGTTGTTTTATGTTTATTCAATAAAATTATTATCTAATTACCCTAACCCTAACCCCATAAACTCTTAAATTAACAAGCCTCCGATAACGTCACACTAGTAAGGTGAGTTTCGTACGATAAAATTATGAGAAAAAAAGAAAGATAATTTCTACAGCATTGTACAATTTGATTTTGGTCGTCTGTCAACACTGATGATGAAGCAGGAGAGTAGGAGAGTGTAGGAACGCTCTCATGTGTTCGAGAATAGCAGGTCGCGGTAGCCAGGTCGCCGCGACCAAGACATATATTATGCAACAGTGATTGCGTCCAATATCAAGCGACCGATTTTCTAGTTTCAAATTAAGAGCGTACGCGCCCTGGGCGACATTTCGCGACGGCCAGGTCACCGCGACCACTAGAACCATTCATGTTAATTATACATAACGCACTATGCGGTCGCGATGGCCAACGAAAACCGAGCGACGTATAGACGACTAATAAAATGCCGCGACCAACAAAATACATGGGATTATATGACAGATAGCGCACTGACGACTGACAGAGGGGCAGGTAATTTGTTTTTGTTTGATAAGTCTGTTTGTTTTTTATCTACGTAGTTGTGCTACAGAAATTGAGAAGTTAATAATTTTAAATGGAGTTGAAATAACCTCAGAATTCGGTACTGACCGATTTATTATAGAAATTCAGAACCGTCTGTACATCTGGGATTTATATTGCGACAAATACAGCAATCGCGATGTTAAAAAGAAGCCCTGGGAGGGAGTTAAAATATTTTAAACATTTAATTTTTGCCACGCGTTCTTATCAAAGGAAGCATCCAACACTTTTTCTTCTTCTTTATCTCGTTTCTTTCTCGCAGCAAATATAAGGAAGCTGCTATGCTCGATATTAATTTTTAAACTTAGAAAATTGGTCGCTGGATATTGGACGCGATCATTGTCGCCAATATGTCTTGGTCGCGGCGACCTGGCAGTCGCCCAGTGCGCGCACGCTCTAAATATCGAGTAAGTAGCAGTTTCTTTATATTTGTCAGTCGTCAGTGCGCTACCTATCATTTAAGAGAATGTATCTTGTTGGCCGCGACGTTTTACTGGCTGTCTGTACCTTAAACATGTTTTCGTTGGCCTTCGCGAGTAAAGTGTTCTCGTGGAAAATTTACAGTAACTTAATCATTAGCGCTAATTTCTTCACACTCATAAATCTGTTTCACTCTCGCTAACAGAATTATAGTAAACAATAGAACATTAAATGCATCCACACGTGCAAGCGACAATTTTTTATCTTTCTTTTCAAAAATCACACGGAAACATCATCCGATGCTCTCTTAGCCAATCACGACGAGACATACCCATAATTGCAAGCACTCACACTTCCACTCGACAAGACAAATGATGAGAACTATTTTGACCACCAAAACATAAACAGATTTGCTTTATCCCGGCGCGAGCTCGATGCTATTCACTAGAAACATAAATTTCGAGATGTATTAAACCTGCTGATTGGTCATAAATCGTAACTTTAAGTATTTGTATTATTTGACTATGTAAAATTGTTGTAAGCTGAAGAACGTTTATAGTTTAAATAAAGTTGTTAACTGAAGAACATATTTAATTTCATCATTAACAAATAAAGTCTGGCAATCCATCTATAAGCATCACATTTCTACCTCACATTACAACACTCCACTGCTCCCAGCCGATGGAAAGAATTCTTTCTGTGACGGCGATTGAGAAGAAATCAAAGTCGCAGAGAACACACGTTTTTTTTGCATATTTTGCACTTAAATCATGCATATTTATGGTCATAAACTCGACTTTTTTAAGTGCATATTTGCCCAAGTCTAGACATGGTAAAAGTGGGGAAAGGGTATGACATATCAAAGATTACTAAAATAAAACGCTACATTTGTCGTAAAAATAGAGCTATGACTTTGGGAATTTAACGGGAGTGTGCACAATGTTGCCAATTTGATCAATTTATGAGTATTTAATTATTAAAAGAGGAATATGCTTACTGAATTAAATATTATATGGGTATTTCCCTCCAAATTGTAATATCTTATGTAACTGTCAGTTCGCGTTCCCATAAATATATTTCAGTGTTATTAGGCTCGTTTAATGCACTGTACTACATCCCTAATATTTCGTCAGATAATACATTTTCATTGGAAATGTTTGACATTCAAAATATTCAAAATTGTGTTTAAAATTTCTCACCTCCGTTAGTTGTAACTTAGTGATTTAATAAAAGTGATACATATTTAACTATGTTTTTACAATAATGAATTTGTTATATTAATCTTATAAATAAAGAAAAATAAATCAGTAACAAAATGTATCGTAAGCTCTGAGTACAAAAAAACAAAGTTTTACTAATTGTCCTGTTTATTAGGTTGTACCAAAAATATTCTCACCTCCGTTCATCCAGTACATTAAAAGTTTTTAAGTTTGAATGAAGGCGCCAAATTTCCCTTTACGGAAGTGGAACTCCTTAGTCTATATCAGTAAACTATGTGATATTCTTGTCCAGCCTTGTTGAATTAGTTGGAAGGTTACGGTCGGAGTGCATACAAATCAAAGTGAAATTAATTTAATCGTTCCATAATATTTCACACCTCCGTTCGGCCCAAAAATTCAAGTAAGTTTGTTTCTATTATGTTGGTGTGTTGATGTAATTTTTTTTATACTTACATATTATTTTCTGAGTACCATATATATGTGTCCAGACATTTATTTAATATATTTCTTGTGAAAAAGGGGTTTGATTTATCACCTCCGTTCATTCTCACCTCCATGCAACATTGTCTAACGGAGTATATAATAAATGAACGGAGGTGAAAAATATCCTTATCGATAATTAATATCACACGTGAAATTGCGAGGTTAAAAAATGTTCATTGTTCTATTTAGAAAATGGGAAGAGCTACAAACGCGACGAAGGAATACAAAGAGAAACAAAAAGAACGAATGAGAAAAAATAGAGAAAAAATAAAAAACGATCCTGTTAAATATGAACAGCAGAAACAACGGGAGAGAGAGCGATATCATCGTCGTAAGGCTGCTAGTAAAATAAAAATTGTATCCCAAATGACGGAACGAGAGAAACGACTGAAAAGGAAACAATGGAAAGAACGAAGCAAACGTTATTATGCCCGTAAGAAAGTTGAAAGACAGGTGGCAGAGGTAGAACTGCAGAGGATGATTGAAGAAAATACTCCACCAAATACACCACCGCCCATAGCTATAAATGTAGATAGAAGAAGACGAGTTGAAGAAAATAATCCACCACATACACCACCGCCCATAGCTGCTAATGTAGATAGAAGAGCTGAAAGTGGAAGAGTAAAAAGAAGGCGACACTTAAAAAAATTAAATGATACAATTTCGGTTTTGGAGGAGAAACTTGCAAAAGAAAAAAAACGCGCCAACAAGTATATAGTAAAATTACATCGAATTAAGAAAAAGACAACTCAGCAAATAGATAATAGAACCGAAAATTCCAGTCCATCAAAAGTAGTAGAGGAAATGACAGTAGGCGTAAATGTTACCCCCGAAATAAAGAAAAGTATTTTGTTTGCCGAAACAATTAAAAAACAACTAAAAATAAACTATTGCAAACTAAAGAGACATGAAGAGAGAACAATATTTAAAAAGCAGCTGTTAGGGACCGTAGTAAGCAAATATAAGTTCAAAAGTGCATTGCAGAAAGTTACCTCCATGTCTTCTTGCAAAAGAAAGGCGATAATTTCTAAGAGAAAATTAGCTTACGACACATTGAAAAAATCGATTCATGCATTCTTTAAAAGGGACGATAATACCACTTTAACTCCCGGGATAAAAGATACTATTACTCGTCACAAAACTAAAATGCAAAAAAGATATTTAAATGACACACTGTTGTCACTGCACAAAAAGTTTACAAATGAACAAAAATGTAAAATATCCTATCAAACTTTCTGTAAATGCAGACCTTTCTGGGCGGTACAGAAAGATATTAATAAACGAGACACATGTAAATGTATGTTACATGAGAATATGCATTTGATAATATATAAACTAAAAATCAATAATTTAATACAAGAAAAGAACGCTCAAGAAATCATAAAGAACGTGTGTTGTAAGGATACAAAAGAAAAGTGCTTATCAAGGCAATGTGAGGAATGTATAAATGAAAATGTTAGAGTGAATAATGATTATGAGAAAACTGACACATTGATGTATGAACAATGGAAAGTAATAAAAGAGACAAGAGTAATAAAAGGTTGCGAGAAAATAATCAAAAGGACAGTTAAAATAAAGATAAGAGCCACAAAAGCAGAGCTGGTGAATGCTTTAATAGCAAGTCTTCCAGAATTTTTTTGTCATGAGAGAAATTTACGTCATCAATCGAGCATAGTACGAAAGATTAAATCGGGTTTAAAGATTAATGATGTATTAATCCACATGGACTTCTCTGAAAACTACCAATGTAAATATGCTGAAGAAGTCCAATCTGCCCATTTTGGTAGTTCCAAGCCCCAACTATCTCTTCATACTGTGGTTGTTTATCGAAAAGGTATTGGCAGTGATCCTGTACCAACATCCTTTTGTACTGTTTCAGAAAACTTAAGTCACGATGCATTTGCCATAATGGCACATCTTGAGCCCATTTTTTCCTTTGTGAAATATAATTACCCAGAAATAAATAACTTCCATTTTGTCTCTGACGGACCCACTACACAATATAGAAATAAGACAATTTTCTCTCTGATTCAAAGGTATCTCTCAAAAATGTTAGAGGCAGAGATGATTAGGTGGCATTATTCTGAAAAGGGTCACGGGAAAGGTGCCCCTGATGGAATTGGTGCTACCATTAAACGATCAGCTGATTCACTGGTTGCTAAAGGAAAAGACATTCCCGATTTTAACACTTTTGTAAAGTTATTGTCGAATGTAAGTCCCAAGATTACTGTAATTGGCCTCAATATTACAGAAGAAACATTAAACAAAATAAGGAATTATATTCCTCAACAGCTTCAAACTTTTCCTGGGACTTTTAAGGTTCACGAAGTAGTGTATAACCTGAAAGAATCATACATGGACATGCGTGAGCTATCATGTCTTGAATGCAAGTCTACCTGTTCCCATTTTTTACTTGGAGTAGTAAGAGACCATGAACGACTGCATTATGAAGATGTTTATTCTTCAAACGAGGACGAAGAACTCGTGGATAAAGAATTACCAGAAACAGAGACTATACTACCTCAAACTATCAACCTCCGTGAAAATGATTGTTTTGGTTTCATTTAAAACGAGGAAAAATGTTAAATACTATGTGGGACGTATTATGGAATTAGTTGACAATGAGTATTTGATAAATTACTTAAAACTTCAATCAAATAGCCTAAACTTTGTGTACCCAACTATACAAGACACTTCATTGGTATCAAGTAGCGATATTGTTGCGTCTCTACCTGTTCCAACTTTAAAGAAGAGAGGACATCATGAATTTAATTTCGATTTCAGTAAATATAAGAATGTTTGTTAGTTATTTTAAAATATTTTTTTGTTTTGTTTTTTGTTTTGTTCTCAGAAAAAGTTTTAGTTTGTTTTAACATTACATTTACAACCCATTTTCAAATTAGTAATTTATTTCTCACCTCCGTTTTGTATTCCTCCACTCCGTTATTTGTTTATTTTGAAAATTCACGTTTTTTTCAAAAATATTATTTAAACATTTTGACCAGTATGTGTGTGCAATTAGATTGAGTCTTTTTAACAAATCTACAAAAGCTTGTTGAGATTAGCACTTATTATTGTAATAATAAAAAAATCGGAGAAAAACATACAATTTGGGGAGAATTACCCATATAACCCTTACGTAACCATAAAAATTCGATGAAATTATCACCTAGAAAGTTCGAACTATATTAAATAATTTTATTTTGTGATATTTAATTTAGTCGGATATTAAACAGTATAGATGGTAACATAATAAAAAAAAATCAAGTGGTGTCAAATCAGGCAACTCAATTGCCAATTCATCTCTCGGGGAAAACGGTATCCAAATATTATCTAACGATTATGTGCTAGTGTGCAGGTGTGCCTCATACTGTTGAAGATATAGACGTTCACATTTGGAAGTAAATTGTTTATTTCAGGTATAATTTGATGCTGGAGAAGATCAAGATATTTTACACCGGTAAGAGCAATAAAAAATGGATCTATCAAGTGGTTTCTCACCAAATCAGCCCCACACATGAACTTTTTCCATCCAGTGCCGATTATAATCTGATCAGTACCGGAAATTATGTTGTTTAATAGTACAGTTCAAGCAGAATGTAGCTTCATAATACAACATAATCTAAGAAATTGTTTTACTTACCAATTTTCTTTAAAAGCATTTCACAAAATTCTAAATTTCAATCAAACTTATGTTTTTGCAAACAGTCTTCTGCTAATACCTTTATTTCTAGACAGTTCTTAGGTAGATGTTTTAGGATTTTTTTGAACATCTAGTAGAACATCTAAACGAGAGGTTCCCAAATTCTTTTGTTTCATAGACCACTTTACTTTTCTTTTCGAAAGTCTGGAAACAAATTCAATCACTGGCCAACACTAATACCGATTCACTTTTCTTTATGAAATTCCAGAAACAAATGAGTAACGATTATCCTTGACATTCGTATTTATATTGGTGAAGAATCAAACACGTTCATGCAAGATTGCAAGCACATACACCACAAGTCGTATTCATTTGCACATCTGAACAAGCGTTGCGGACGGGACGGCGGCCGGCGCGGCAACGACAAGTCTCGACGCGTGTACTGAATATGGAATATGCAAGTTTTTACAAGTAACAGTCGCTGAGCTTCTTAAAATATTATCTGCCTATATTGATAAGAGAAGTCAACATTTTAGTAATTAAAATGTTGACTGTTTATATTATAAACAGTTGAAGTTTTTTACAAGAATTTCTTCATCACATGGACAAATGAGAAATCAATTGTTTAATAGTATATTGCTTCACTATCGAAACCAAATTAATTTTCACCCCCGTTGAGTCTCCCGTGGACCCCTGGGGGTCCACCTGAACCACTTTGGGAAATACTGATCTAAACTCTAATACCTTTTTCGCTACCCTGTAAATTATAAAACATTTTTTTATTTTAATTAATAAATTATATGTTAATTTTATATCTGAATTTCATTATCCTTATCTGATAACACAAAGTAGTCAAAAAGAGTATGAATAAAAATTTATCCAAATTTTTGGGACGGAACAATCAAATATTTCATCATCAAAAATATCAAGTTATCATAATCCTCACGGAGTTATAATAGGGAAATTATATGCTCTTAAAAAAAAAACTCGCAAACAAATAATGGTTTTAGAGATTACAACGGATTTACGAGGAAATATTGGAAATGTATAACGCAAAAACGATTTTTACTCGTATCGCAAATATGAGAACATACGAAAATACGATAAATTCACTTCTTTTTAATAGGTAGTCATAAAGTAGAAGAAACAAAAAACGGGATCGATAAGATGTTTGCTTTTTTAATTTTTTTATGATCAAACGAAAAATTCGATTAATACCTTTAGAAACTACAGTGTGAAAAAGTTGAATAAATACACCCGTTCAGAAAGAAATATTTTTTTCTCCGTTTTAGAATCTAAAAGACGAAAACAGAAAAGACCATTATGCTTACAAAAACCATTCGTAAATCAAAGCATTCTTAACAAATAAGAAAATTAACCTAAATTTGTACTACAGAATTGTAAATTAAAATATAAATCATGTCTAAGGTGAGCCCTAATTGGGAACGTTATAATTTATTTTAGCTTCTCTTATTACAAAGGAGCTGTCAACTGAACTAATTTGTTAAAAATACTTACCTACAATTTGCATTCTTCAATATGACATTGCTTTTAATCAATCTGTAACCTATAGGAAAATATAGCTTTCTATTACAAAAACTTTGCATCGATAGAACTTTCTACGTTGTATTAATCTAGTAGGATTTTTGATAGGTATTATTGATAGATAATATTTATAGTTCGGTGAAAGCTTCAAAAAATTGCAATTTGTTCCTAGTTTTTTTTGCAAGAAAACGTGTCTAAAGTATTTTTACGATAAGAAGCCAGTGACGTTACATGATGAAAAACCTGCGGCGTTGTCAGGTAGATTTTTTTGCTTCACTTAAAGATAACATTGTGACAGTGTTCTTTATTTTTTCTTGTCTTTAATATAAGTGTATCTAACGTGTTATCAAATTTAAAGTGCTATTGAATGGTTGAAAAATAAAAGATTTCAGGGTAACACGATTGATAATTAACATATATAACATAGATAAATAACATATATAACACATATAAACTATTTAAATGTACATACTATTTCTTAGGTAAAATTTCTCATTGAGTATATTAAATTAACTGGTTGATCCATTTTTCCGATTCAGACTTTTAAAGTGAAAAACCATTTGCCTCTTTATCTTTATCAAACGTTTATTGTACATTTCCATTTCCATAATGATGTCAAGTAAATATCTTATCAGAATAATTAAATTTTTCCTTTTAGCGGGTTTTGTGGGAAACAAAAAATTTACAAATTTGTGCTTACTTCTTACTTCATAGTATTTACAGTTGGTTATAAAATAGACCATTTTGGAGTAGTCTTAGAATTAGAATTAGACACTGAAACAAAATATAAAACAAATTAGATTCGTAAAACTTTATTATAGTTAAATAAAACAACAATTCTAAAAATAATTTTATTTACCTTGCCTTGAATTGACACATATACTTTTAATTTATTAATGTCACAGTTCTTAATTAAACACATTTTTTTAAATGAGCACAAATAATTAAACAATTAATTAAACAATTAAGTTTTAAAGTAGAGATTGGTAGAGGAATGACGGAATGACAGTTTGTTTAACTACAGTGTTGCCAGAATATGTTATTGTTATGTAACAGATTCCTTAAATGTATCAGAGTTTTCGAATTCTATTTGCAGTGATATCTAATTCATTGAAGGGAAAAAAAGGGGGTCTTTATTGATAACTATTCAGACTAAACCAGGCGGCAATTCATCGATATAAATAATAAAACGGATCGGTCCTAGGATAGATCCTTGAGGAACTCAGATTTTATTTGCTAATTGATGAAAAAAGAAGATGGTGTCGGTATTGCGATCTTCGTTACCTTTACAGATTTTTTGTGGATCTTTTTCTTTTGTTTTTAATCACTTATTCTAATTACTTATATATGTCCTTTTTGTGATTCTGTCGCAGCTTATGATTCATTTTTTTTAGAGCAAATATAATGAAATATTAATTTAACTTTTATATTATAGGTTTGGATGTCACTACTGGTCTTCGGTTATTTAAAAATGGAAGTTCTTCAGAAAAAGGTAATTAGAATTTTTATTAATTTTTATTAATGTTACTGACTTAATTTTAAGGCAGCGAGATTTATTATTTTTCCTTACTTGTCAGTTATTTATTATTACTTATTCATTTATTTACTATTTTATATACTGCTTTGTAGAATCCTCAAATACCGAAATGTTTTGTTATGCTTACCTATTGCAACTTATATTCAATTTTCTCTACTTAAAAAAAAATATAGTTTGTGCAACAAGAGTGGATATGATATCCACATACCGCATGATGACATATTTATTGAACTTTTTTATTTCAGAAAACTCCAGTTTTCCTGCTATGATATTTTTTGATATATTTTCCTTAATTACAAACTGTCTTCTATTTTCTTTTAATAAGTCTTTGATGTATCCATCTAAATTCTAAGTTGTTATTGACGATCATTTTTTTTTATTATCTGTCATATTTTTATTACTCCGTTTTTCTCTTGTGTCAATTTTCTGATGATGTTAAATAATAATTCTTGTTCATATCTGCCCATGCCATTAAAGAAAAGTAGTATTGAAACAGAAACTACAAACTTTTCAGTTTATCTTTGTATTTTGTCTTACTACATACTACACTCATATCATATACAGTGTGTCTCGTAAGTTTTTTATTATTAGTTTTATCAACAAAATGAGTTCTTCATAAAAAATTGTGCATAGTCTAAAGCAGGCCTGCACAACTCAGATTTTCAAAGGGCCAGTTTCAAACACCGTAAGGGCCAAGAGAATCCTGAGCTGAGCTTATAAAACAGGTCGAGGTTGTCTAGTCCAGATTCTTCTATCGAATTCTTAAAAAACAAAAAAATGTCTTCAGCTTATAATTTATAATACTCCTGCTCTCCAGCTGCTCAAAAAAAGGGTCCTTAATAC